CACCTTGCCAATACCACTTCTAATTCCTTCCATGGTTGTTTGTTTCCTAAACCATGAGACTCCCCTAGTTAACATCTCCCTGTCTTTTGCTCCTTTTTCTCTCCAGCTTGAAACATAACCTTGGCTGTTGGAATTTATGTACATATGAATAAATGAATAGAATTTACAAACATGTAAACAGCTAATATGGTATAAGACAAAATGGAGTGAATCTGAATTAGAAACACCTAAGGTTGCTCCCATAAAGATTTACAGCCTTGGAAAATCCTGTACAGGGTCGCTATGAGTCGGAACTGACTCCATGGCACATAACCACCACCAACCACCAAGGATATTATAAATGGTCAGAAAAATAAGAAGTAATTCAGCAGGGAATCACAGAGCACCTCAGAAAAGCAGAATTTGAGGGTTTACTGGAGTTGGCCTACCAGATATCTGACCTTAGCTAGATCTGTTAGTCCGTATGTCTGTTTCCTAATTTGTGAAATGATGGTAGGTTACTTATAGTGCTGGTGGGAAATAGAAGATAGATTAAAAAAGTGAGACGGTGAGAGTCATAAAAGGGCCTTTTGATCAGTATGTAACAGCATGCCTGCCCATAACGGTGATGGTGGTGGTTATGTGCTATAGAGTTGGTTCCGACTCACAGCACCCCTGTAGAGTTTCTGAGGCTGTAAATCTTTATGGAGCAGAAAGCCTCATCTTTCTCCTGTGGAACCACTGGTAGTTTTGAACTGCTGACCTTGAGGTTAGCAGTCTGACTCGTAACTACTACGCTACCAAAGATCATAATGAGCATTCAGTAAATAGATGGATGGTTGGATGAATGAATTGTTCAGACAAAAGCTAAATGCCTAAAGCAGTGGACTAGGGGAGTGACTGCCCAAATTAAATAAGTTGGTACTTGTTAACAGGTCAAAGAGGTTTGGTAGAGAAAAGTTTGAAACCACTATATATAATCCGGATGTGGTGCTGTGAGTTAATGCGCTGGACTGAAAAGTCGGTTTGAACTTCAAGGTCAGTGAAGTTCACCAGCAGCTCACCAGCAGCTCCTTGGAAACCTTATACAGGGTCCCTATGAGTTGGAACTGACTCAACAGCACTTAACAACAACAATAAAATAGGCAACCTTTTCGATAGTGTTCTGATTTTTTTTTTTTTTTTTTTTTTTGAGGCAGCTCTGTTTCATTTTTATTAACTCTGAAAAATCTCAGCAGGGACAATACTAAGTCTAGAATTAAGAGAGAGTGAGTTTGAGGGAAGCAGAAAGATGAGGCTTTCTGCTCCTGTAAAGATTTATAGCCTTGCTGTGAGTTAGGACCGACTCAATGGCACTTACCTATATATATATATATATGTACATGCTTGTTGTTAAGTACCGTTCAGTCGATTCCAACCCATAGCAAGGCTGTAAATCTTTACAGGAGCAGAAAGCCTCATCTTTCTCCAACTAAGCTGCTGGTGGACTTAAACCACCAACCTTATGGTTAGCAATCCAGTGTTAACCCTATGGTGCCACTGTACTCCGTATATACATTTAAATTTTATTGTGGTTATAACAAAAAGCTTGCTCTTTTAGCCATTTTTATATGTGCAATTCAGTGACATTAACTACAATCACTGTATTGTGCTACCATCACCAGAATCCATTTCTGAAAGTTGGGTATCACTACAAATAGAATGTGCATAGTGGTGACGGATTGGGCTATGAACCTTAAGGTCGGCTGTTTGAAACTGCCAGCTGTTCAGTGGGAGAAAGAGAAGGATTTCTGCTCCCGTAAAGATTTACAGCCTTGGAAACCCTGTACAGGGTCGCTATGAGTCGGAACCAACTCCAGGGCACATCACCACTACCACAACGAACACTTCATAACCATTTCAGCCACCACTCCTCTGTCGAGCTGTGGTGGCTAGTGTGTTGCTGTGATGCTGGAAGCTATGCCACCAATACTTTAAATACCAGCAGGGTCAGCAATGGGAGACAGGTTTCAGTGGAGCTTCCAGACTAGGAGGAAGGTGAGGCAGAGCACTACTGAATGACTAGCCATTGAAAACCTTTAGAGCAATAGTAAAACATTGTCTGATACAGTGCAGATGATGTTGGAAGGCACTCAAAATATGATAGGGGAAGGAATTGCCTCCTCAAAGTAGAATTGACCTTAATGATGTAGATGGAGCAAGACTTTTGGGACCTTCATTTGCTGATGGGGCACAACTCAAAATGAGAAGAAACAGCTGCAAACATCCATTAATAATTGGAATGTAGAATGGACAAAGTATGTATCTAGGAATATTAGAAATCATCAAAAATGAAATGGAACACATGAAGATCGATATCCTAGGCATTCATGATCTGAAACACAAATATTGGCCATTGTGAATTGATCAATCGTATGCTTTACTATGCTGGGTATAACAAATTGAAGAGAAATTGCATTGCATTCACTGATGTATCTTGAAGTGCAATGCTGTCTGTGATAGGATGATATCCATAGGCCTGCAAGGAAGGCTACCCTGTTAATACCACTATTATTCAAATTTATGCACCAATCACTAAAGCCAGTCTGAAATTGATCAAACATGCAATCAAGCTTTATTGATAATTATTGGTGATTATAATGCAACAGGTAGAAGCCAATAGGAAAGGTCAGTAGTTAAAAATATGGCCTTAGTGATAGAAATGATACTGTAGATCACATGATAGAATTTTGCAAGACCAACAACTTGTTAATTGCAAAACCTTTTTCAACAAATTAACTGATAAGGACACACATGTGTGCTAAGCCCAAGACCAAGTAAAGCTGAGTGCCTGTGGGCATGAGGCAGGCTTGCAGAATGTGCCCTTTGAGCATTTACAGACCAGCTTAAGGAGCTTTGTAATACTTGCCTAAGCAGGTCAGAGGCCAAGGTTCCACATGGTTGAGAGGCTGAAGACAAGAATAAGGCATGCCTGCAGTCCAGCAGAAAAGAGGCCTTTTTGATTGAAAAACTGTTGCATTCTGAGTTGTTTTTGATACTGAATTGCACTCTGTTCACTTATAAACCTATAATCATAAGTAATGTCCATGAGTTCTATGTTGCCATTGCAATGGATTATTGAACCCATATGTGTAGGGGAGAGTTCTGTGGGAGGGACGGTTGGTGTCAAAATAGGGTAAAGATGGTTGTAAGGTATAGACATGTCTGACTTGTGCTTCATAGGAATCTGTCTTGGGCTGCTTTTGAGTATGATTCTCCATCACCTTGTAAAGCCATGGGAAGTTAGATATGGCCTCTGCACCATTTTTTACACAATTCATCTGTTGATGGACACTTGGGTCTTTATTTTTTGGCTATTGTGAATAATGCTGCAATGAATATTGATATACAAGTATTTCTTTGAAACTCTGTCTTCAAGTATCTTGGATATATTCTTACAAGTAGAATTGTTAGGTTACTGTAATTCTATGTTTAACTTTTTGAGGAACCACCATATTGTTTTTAATGGTGGTACAAATATTTTAATGTTTTAAATGTTCTATTGTAAATTGAATGAAGGTTTCCAGACAAGATCATCAGTTTTACATTCAACAAATCATGCACTTTGCTTCATCCCTTTCTGTGTCTTATTACCATGCAACCCACCTTCCCATTTCTTTTCAACTTTGCTCTTAGGCAAATATTGCCATTTTGATCTTGAATGACTGAGCATCCCTTACTAGCGTCGTTGCACCTTCTATATCTGTGTTCTGCTTGACTAGAAATTGGTTCACAAGAATGAGTTCATTTCCAGACCTGAAGGGTGGTCAAGGGCTATAGTATCAGGTTCATTCAGTCTCTTTTGAGTTTTGTTCCACATTTTCTCTCACTCTATCTGGTATCTTCTAATGTAGTCCCTTTCAGAGCAGTTGGTAGTGGTATCTGAGTACTAACTAGTTCTTTTGGTCTCAGACATGGAGATTGATGTTCATGTGTTCCATTAATCCATTGGGCTAATTAATTCCAAGTATCTTCAATTCTCATCACTCTTCTTTCTTTCACACATGGAGACCAATAGTTGCTTATGAGCTTTTAAGATCCCAGTTACTACTCACCAAAGTAGGAGGTAACACATTGTCTTTGTGGACTATGTTATGCCTATTGACCATAGTGTCCCATGAAATTATGGTCCTGAGCACCCAAGTCCAGCAACTCATTGCCTTAAGAAGCTAGATAATGTCTAACAAATTTCATCATTTTGCCTATTGTATGCTCCACCACATTCATAGTTGTGTTTGCAAGAAAGTGAAATATCCATGTACAAATAGCCTCTTTCAAACTCTTATATACTTGTGAGTATACTCCCACTCTTCCTCCCATACCCATTCAGCCTGGGTTTCTGTCTAGGTGTGTACCTGCAGAGCACTGTTTCAGGGTTGTATGTATAACACTATTTACATCTGTCCCCTTTAGCCTTTGTATACCTCCCTGTGTCATTGCCTGTCTTCATCATTCTTCTGCTTACCTCCCACTTTTTGTACATTGCCCTCCCCATTACCTGGGTTAATATGTGTCTACCTTCTAGCCAGTGAGTTACTCTCCCTTCCGTCAATATTTTAATTTTTAACCTGTTTTATCTATGCATGTTTTAACTATTACTATAGTGTGGTGCTGTGGGTTAATGCACCAGACTGTAATGCCGTTTGAACTGCAAGGTCAGTGGTTTAAGCTCACCAGCTGCTCCTCAGAAACCCCATACAGGGTTGCTATGGGTCGGAATTGACTCACCGGCACTTAACAACAACAACATAGATTGATTAAAGATGAATGTAATGACGAGTAATACAACTAATAAAATTACATTTGTAACAGAAGAGGGAATGTTAAAAATATAGTTATTTATATTAAAACAATTTGGAGAACTACGATGCGTGCCTGAGAAGGGAGAAAATCCTTTCTATTTTTTATTATGCTTTTTGTGCGCTCCATTTTGTTTGTTTGTGTTTCTAGTTTGTGTTCTTTCTTTTTGTTTTGTTTTTCAGCTCAACACTTTCCAGGCAGTTTTGGCATCTGATGAGTCTGATAGCTACGCCCTCTTTCTTTATCCTGTTAATGGCCTGCAGTTCTTTGGAACTCGCCCCAAAGAGTCTTACAACGTTCAACTCGAACTTCCAGCCCGAGTGGGCTTCTGCCGAGGGGAGGCTGGGGAGCTGAAGAGAGAAGGACCATATTTCAGTTTGACCAGCACTGAACAGTCTATAAAAAATCTCTACCAGTAAGTAACATAGAGCTTAAACCTTTCCTGTCGGAATATCAGGACCTTTAAAAGCTGCTCAAACTTGAGTGACCACAAAATCATCAAATTATATCTTGGTAGCTTCTAACCAAGGTTTCCAGTCAAAACCAGAAATTAGACTCTTGGAAGATCAGAGTCACCAAAATTTTTATTTTACCTGTTCTAAGGAGCTCTGGTAGCGTAGTGGTTACGAATCGGGCTGCGAACCTTAAGGTCAGCGGTTCGAAACTACCAGCCGCTCCGCGGGAGAAAGATGAGGCTTTCTACTCCCGTAAGGATTTACACCCTCGGAAACCCTGTACAGGGTCGCTATGGGTCAGAACCGACTCGACGGCACTTAACAACAACAACATGGGGTAATGGTGTAGTGCTGTAGGATAAACACTGGATTGCAAACCTCAAGGTCAGTGGTCCAAACCCACCAGCCACTCCTTGGAAATCCTATATAGACTTGCTAAAAGTCAGAATCTACTCGATGGCACTTAACAACAACAATGACATTGTAGTATAGATATAAAAAATGGAACAGTGTACGTGTATGTGTATTTTTACAAAACCACTGAGGCGCACTCTATGACAAACATTGTTCTTAGAATCACATAAAACATCCAGTCATGTAACTGTCCAGATTGAGTTTTTTCACACTGTCATTTCACAGGAGAATTACACTTTGATTTAACCTTTTGGTCAGGTACATGTTAAAACTGAAATTGTTGTTGTTGTTGTTAAGTGCCGTCGAGTCGGTTTCGACCCATAGCGACCCTGAACAGGGTTTCCGAGGCTGTAACGATAGAGCTCCTTATAAAAAAACTGAAATTAGAAGTAATGTAATTTGGGAAAGAAAAACCAAATAATTTTTTTAAACTACAAGCAGATTGGTCTATTTTTAAAAGCCTCAGAATTTTTCTGTGACTTCATTACCTGACAGTATACTGATTGTTGTTGTTAAGTGCTGTTAAGTCGATTCTGACTCATAGTGAACCTGTAAAAGGTTTCCAAAGCGCAACTTGTGAGTTTGAACCTCCAACCTTGCAGTTCAAACCAACCTTGCGGTCAAGGTCAAGTGCTTTTCCTATGATGGTTATCCTACAGTTTATCCTGTTTTTCCAGGGGTAATCAGAATTGAAGATGTTCCTCAGTTCATCAATGGCTTACTCCTCTAGGTCCCAGCAAACCTTTTCCCTTTTAGTCAGGTCAAATAGTGCCAGTACCTAGGTTAGCCTGAAGTGATATTTGTTGATTTCAAGGTTTTTTCCTTTATGGTTTGTTTTTATACTTTTCTTGATTACTGGTCCCAAAGCCAGATAACACATTGATTACTTCCTTGCCTCCCTTAATTACTTCTCATTAAGTCATTCCTGAACACGTTTTCATTTGCATATCATTGCTCTGCTCTGCTTGGCTACCAGAGAGTGGGGTGCTTCATCCAGATCCAAGTACTCAGAACTGATGTTTATTGAGAGCTTACTATTTGCCAGACATTGTGCTTAACACTTAATCAAATCTCACAAGAGTTCTACGAGCGTAAGTAACTACTATTTTCTCTATTTTACAAATGAGCTTAGGGATGTTGCATGAATAATTTCTTTTAGGAAGATCAGCACAAGGCAGGTCCCTATGATTGGAGGCTAAAGATATCCCAACTGTTCATCTTTTCCGACATGTTACACCACTCCATAACCCTTGATATTAATCACCACTCCTCCCTTCCTTAACCGGAAAATGGGATGCATGAAGTATGAATCTAGGAAAATTGGAAGTTATAAAAAATGAAATGGAAAACATGAACATCAATATCCCAGGCATTCGTGAGATGAAATGGACTAGAATTGGCCATTTTGAATCTGACAATCATATGGCTTACTATGCCAGGAATGCCAAATTAAAGGGGAATGGCATCATAGTCATCATCAAAAAAGTACATTTCAAGATCTATTTTGAGTATAACGAGCTCTGGTAGTGTAGTGATTATGAGTTGGGCTGCTAATAACCTCAAGGTCAGCATTTCAAAACCATCAGCCATTCTGCGGGAGAAAGAGAGGCTTTCTGCTCTGGCTCCCATAAAGATTTACAACCTTGGAAACTCTATACAGGGTTGTTTTGAGTGGAAACTGACTCCACAGCACATAACCACTACCACCATCTCGAGTATAAGGGCTGATTGTAATAGAATAATATCCATACACCTACAACACAGACTAGTTAATACCATTATTATTCAAATTTACTCACCAGCATCACTAAAGCCAGTGATGAGGAAATTGAAGAATTCTACCAACTTCTTCAGTCTAATATTCATCAAACATGCAATCAGTATGTATTGATGATTACTGGTGATTGGAATGCAAAGGTTGGAAACAAAGAGGAAGGATCAGTAGTTGTAAAGACAGGAAAAAAAGAAATTACCAAAATGGGTGTCAGAAGAGACTCTGAAACTTGCTCTCCAGCATTGTTGTTGTTGTTAAGTGCCGTTGAGTTGGTTCCAACCCATAGCAACTCTGTATAGGGTCTCCTAGGAGCGGCTGGTGAACTTGAATCGCTGACCTTGTGGTTCGCCAACGTTGTAGTCCAGTGTATTAACCAGCAGGACCAACCAGGACTCCAGCACAGAGATGCTAAAGCAAATGGAAGAAATGAGGAAGTAATGAGCTAAACAGAAATTGCAAAGGACAGCTTGAGAAGACAAACTCAAGTATAATAATGAAATGTGCAAAGATCTGGAGTTAGAAAACCAAAAGGGAAAAGCATGTTCAGCATTTCTCAAGCTGAAAGAACTGAATAAAAACTTGAAGCCTTGACTCACAATATTGAAGGATTTTGTGGGCAAAATATTGAATGATACAGAAAGCATCCAAAGCAGATGTAAGGAATACACAGTTACTGTACTAAAAAGAATGGTTAGTGTTCAACCATTTCAAGAGATAACATATGATCAAGAGCCAATGGTCCTGAAGAAAGAACTCCAAAATGCACTGAAGGCATTGGCAAAGACCAGGCCATAGGAATTGATAGAATACAAATTGAAATCTTTAAACAAACTGATGCAGCGCTTGAAGCACTCACTCATCTAAGCCACGAAATTTGGAAGACAGCTACCTGGTCAACTGCCTGGAAGAGATCCATATTTGTGCCCATTCCAAAGAGGTGACCCACTGAATGTGGAAATCATCAGATGGTATCTTTAATAAGACATGCAAGTAAAATATTGGTTGAGGTAAGTATGGCTACAACATTACATTGACAGGGAACTGCCAGAGGTTCAAGCATAATCCAGATGAGGACATGGAACGAGGAATGTCATTGTTGATATCTTATGGATCTTGGTTGAAAACAGAGAATACCAGGAAGATGTTTACCTGTGATTACTGACTATGCAAAGGCTTTTGTCTGTGTCGATCATGGCAAGCTATGGGCAAGTGCTGAGAATGAGTATTCTGGAACACTTAATCATGCTCATGAGGAACCTGCACATAAACCAAGATGCAGACATTTGAACAGAACAAGGGGATACCACATGGTTTAAAATCAGGAAAGGTGTATGCTAGGGCTATATTCTTTCACCATAGTTTTTCAATCTGTATGTTAAGCAGATAATCCAAGAATCTAGATTATATGAAGAAGAATGTATTATCAGGATTGGAGGAAGACTCATTAGCAACCTGGAGTCCTAGTGTGGTGCTGTGGGTTAATGTGCTGGATTGCAAGGTCTGTGTGACCTGTAAGGTGGGCAGTTCAAGCTCAATAGCCGCTCCTCGGAAGGATTGCTATGGGATGGAACTGACTCAGTGGCATTTAACAACAACAAACAACAATATGCAAATGATACAACCCTGCTTGCTGAAAGTAAAGAGGACTTAAAATACTGATGAAAATCAAAGATCACAGCCTTCAGTATGAGTTGTACCTCAGTGTAAAGAAAACAAAAATCCTTACCATTGGACAAATAAATAACATCATGATAAATGGAGAAAAGCTTGAAGTTGACAAAGACTTCATTTTGCTTGAATCCACAATCAACACTCATGGAAAAAGCAGTCAAGAAATCAAATTACATATTTCATTAGGCAAATCTGCCACACAAGACCTCTCTAAAGTGTTCAAGAGCAAATATGCCAAGGTATGGCTGACCAAAGCCGTGGTATTTTTAATTGCCTCATATGCATGTGAAAGTTGGGCAATGAATAAGGAAGACTAGAGATGAATTTAAGTTATTGTGCTGGAGAAAGAATACTGAAAGCATCATGGATGCTAGAAAAACACACAAATCTGTGTTGGAAGAAGCACAGCTAGAAAGTTCCTTAGAAGCTAGGATGGCCAGACTTCATCTCTCATACTTCTGATGTATTATCAGGAGGGACCAGTCCATAGAGCAGTGTATCATGCTTGATAAAGTGGAGGGCCAGCCAAAAAAAAAAAAGATGTATTGGCCAAGCGGAAGCAGCAATGGGCGCAAGTTTAAAAAATGATTTTGAGGCTGACACAGGACTGGGCAGTGTTTCCTTCTGTTGTGTATATGGTTGCTATGAGTTGGAACTCACTTGATGGTGCCTAACAAAAACAACAAGCACAGGCATTTGTTGTTGTTGTTAAGTGCCTTGGAGTCCTTTGCAACTCATAATAACCTTATGGGATTTCTGAGGAGCAGCTGGTGAATTTGAACAGCTGACTTTGAGGTCCAGTGCATTATCCTTCAACTCCATACCAAGACTCAGAGGCATTGTTGTTGTTGTTGTAAAGTGCCATTGAGTTGGTTCCAACTCATAGTGACCCTGTATAGGGTTTCCAAGGAACAGCTGGTGAGCTCAAGCAGCTGACTTTGCGGTTCAAACAGACTTTGCAGTCCAGTGTATTAACCTACAGGACTCCTCACAGGCATAAAAGTTAATGTTTACAATATATCACAACAGTGGAGACTGTTGTTAAGTACCATTAAGTCAGTTTCAACCCATGGCGACCCTATCTAGGGTTGCCGGGGAGTG